CCAGCTGATTTGTATTGCTTATGGGTTGTTTGCATATTCAGAGCAGAGGGATTATCTGACACTCTTTCTGCAACAGGATCATTACTGTATTTAGCTGTGTTGTTAGGGAGTATAAAGATATCCAACAAAGAAATGCGCTCAGTGCTTTTCAGCAATACTTGCCCTGTGGCTTGGGACTTGGCTATCACTTATATGTAACTGGTGCTGGATTAACAGCCCTGAAAAGAGTGACATTCCCGTAGCATGAATTGTGGCACGGAAAGCTTTCCCATCCTGCCCTATCCAAATGTTTCAATCCTGATCTGAAAGGTGACCTTTGGTTGAGAGGCAGCTCAGTTTCCATGTCTATTCGGTCCTTGGCCTCTGCTGAGATTGCCAACAGTCAAATCCTATTCAGAAGAGGAAAGGAGAAAGGTAATGCTCAGTGGTGGTTGTGCTGAGAGCTGTTCTGCCTTGCCCAGGCCTCCTGGTTTATCTGCAGGACCCTAGTTCTGCAGCCAATGAAATCAACACTTACTTTGCCATTGACTTAAGTGGGAGAAAATCCAGTCCAAGGACTGAGTCAAGTGTTAAGGTGACAGTGATAAATGTAAATTCTTCCTATTCACGGGTCTGAAGAATGATGGGCATGAAGCCGTGGCAAATACTGCTGACATCTTCTGTTCATAGTTACAGAGATGTTGAACTGACTTGTCCTTCTTGAATGGGTCCCAAACATTAGCTAGGGCTGATCTAAGTTTGTGGTTTGCAGTTCAGAATGGGTTGAGCTGAATTATGGAACGGGCAGCACTCCTCCAACAGAGTGAGATGCTAATGGGAGGGAAGTGACGATGCCCAACCCTATCATCTTTGCCAAAGCCAGTGCAACAGGATACAACTGGGTACACTCTGAAGCTTGTCCAGTGCAAGAGGCAGTGGACCCACACAGAGGCTGATTCACAAGGCTACGGATCACTGCTTGCTTGTTGTGCAAATGCTTGTGCCACCTGAAGCAAAATGCTTGACACTGTTGGGGAAAACTAGCCCTTGTAATGGAAGGAAGCATGTCCTGAGAGGGCTGATTCTATACCAGTAATGGGCAACCTGTGGCCCGCAGGCCACATGCAGCCCGTCAGGGTAATCCGCTGGCGGGCCACAAGACAGCTTGTTTACACTGACCGTCCGCAGGCACGGCCGCCCGCAGCTCCCAGTGGCCGCGGTTCGCTGTTCCCGGCCAGCGGGAGCTTCAGGAAAGAGCGGCCAGCACATCCCTGCAGCCCGCGCCGTTTCCCACAGTGAAGTTCTAGTTCTCAGGAGTTCTAGTTCTCAGGCTTGGGGTTTAACCATAAGACCATGTTTTCTACCCACACCGTTAATTGGACTCCTCTCCCCACCCCTTCCCCATCCCCATTAGTTAAGGTCCTTGAGTGATCCAGACCAGATTGTACAAACTGTTCAGAAATCTGGGCTTCAGCCCCAAGACACAAGAGACTGATTCTTATGATCACGCCTGTAAACAGGCATGAGCCCCACGCCACTCTGAACTTGGTACAGGCACACACCCAGTGGGTTATGATCCAAATTTACTCCCTTCTTGGAAGTTTGCCTTTATCTTACCTTTGCTACAAAGCATTGTGGCAGGATTGCACTTGTAAATGTAAACATTAGCCTGAGCTCACAGTTCCTAGGGTTTCTCCTTGCAGGTCCTCCTGTCCCTGTCTCTAGCTTTTTCTTGTTACATAGAAGCTCTCTAGCCTCTGTGCATTGGGTCAATGGGTCTGGTGTGGCCCATCTGATCTACCTGCCAGGATGAGTCAGCAGAACAGCTCTTCATCTTCCCACATACTCCTAAAGCCTGCCATCCAGTCCCATCACTACTGAAATTCAGCCTTCACCATGAGTTAATGTAGTTCTTCAAAAAATTGCCTCTGCATAGCCCAATTGAATGGAGTCACTTGCTGTGCTTCAGTGTTCCACTCAGGAAAGATCTGCAGAAACAATTTATTTGTAGAACTCTAGCATTGGTAAGTAGTCTTCTTTTTTTCCCTTTGTGGTAATATTTATCAAATGTTATCTTTTTAATAGCTTCTACCGTTGTGTGACATTAAATCAAATTAGCCAATAAAGATTATATGACATCTCCATTTTATCTGCAACAAGGGTTAAAGATAAACCCTTCCTGGGACCGTCTGATTGTTCTGTTGAAAGCACAGTATTTTTATAAGATGCAGATGCCTCTTACCTATGTGGGTTTTTTTTGTTTGCTGGGCTGGTTATGGTTTTATGACAGGAAATTCTTGAATGCTTGTGCTAGGGGGACACACCGTGTGATTTTATGGTTGTAATGTAGAAAGTCTTTTATGTGTAGAATTTTATGAATGTGTAACAAGAGAGTTCTCTTGTACCTTCCATACTGGCCTAATTTCTTATAAAGGAAGTGTTTATGTCCTGGAGGGTTTTGTATACGTTTTAACTAGGAATAAATCCAGCATGTTCATTTCACAATAAAATACTTGCTTCGGCACTGACTGATTCTTAGTAATAACCATAAACAAGTTTATATAGAGGCACTGTTACTATATTATTGATTATAGCAAAGCTTGGTGTAAAAAGTGTTCCCTGGGAAGAGCTGGTGATGGTAGTATATTTTAGGGGGACTCTGTTCAAGGTTTTCTGGGCGCAGAATGTGACCTTTTCTTCTTCATTGTCCATGTGTTTTTATTTTGTTTTAATGAAATGCTTAATTCTCTCTCTCTCTCTCATTCATACATATATATATATATATATTTAGAATCATAGAAATGTAGAGCTGGAAGGGACCTGAAGAGCTCATCAAGTCCAGCCCCCTCCACTGAGGCAGGACCCAGTAAACCTAGACCATCCCTGACAGGTGTTTGTCCAACCTGTTCTTAAACACCTCTGGTTCTGGGGATTCCACAACCTCTCTTGGAAGCCTGTTCCAGAGCTTAACTCCATTATAGTTAGTTTTTTCTACTATCTAACCTAAATCTCCCTTGTTGCAAATTAAGCCCAATACTTCTTGTCCCACTTAAATGCCAGGAGCTCATGATTTAGGATAACATGTTGCCATCCCCTACAGTACCAAGCCAGAGTGTGCCATGTGCAACAGCATCCAATGTGTGCAACCCAGCACTCATAAACAATGCTACAGTAACAATCCAGGCTAAGATTTTAAAAAATAGAAGCCTCAAGGTAGTCTCCCAAATCCATATTGAGGCACCTATTTAAACGATCTGATTTTTTGAACAGGGCTGAGCATCCAACAGTTTATTAAATGTATTATTATAAGGCACTTAACATGAAGACCACTTCAGAGCTTCAGTAGGCATCATGCATGTGCAGTGGGGTTGACTAGAAAGCACCGTACTCCTGTGCCATATAAACTGCATTTGAACTTCTGTTTAAATTTGGGGTGCATTTCAAGGTGATCTTTAGCACCCTGTGTGCTTTTGGTCCCATTCTCTCTTTCTTCCCCCCTTGCACTGCTTCCCCCCGGTAATTGAGATCGGTTAATGCAGTCTCGCCCATAGCCCTACTTTTGAATATCAGCACGTTCGGAAGTAACGGAGGGGCCATAACTTGATAATGCTCTTTGCTTGTTGGTCTAGCTGAGCCCAAAACTATTAACCTTCAAAGCTCATTGGTTGTTCAGGCTTTTGTCTTGAATGTGGGAAGCGAGCTGTGTTTATATCTAGTTGTTAGATGGGGAGTGAATTTTGTTTAGCTTTTGTCATATACTCTGTATTGCTTGGATTTGTACATGCACCCACAGAGTTTGGGATTGGTGCATGATTAAATATAGACAAAGAGCAATTATTTTATTTTATTTATTTTAGGGAGCTTTTACCTTTCTTGGGGTTTTTTTTTTCTCTTTAATGAGATGGATTGTTAAAATATGTTAATCCGACACATGGGGAAGGGTGGGGAAATATACGGAGATGTTGAATAATTAGATCATCTCCTATGCAGGAATAAGTCCAAGTATTAGACAGAAACAAGAACTCCCTCTCCCCAATTCTAACCTCCTCCCTCATCACAGATACATGGGATCTGGGTCCTTTCTGTAAGAGACGTCTGATCTTAAGTATTCGTTAAAGTTTGTAAAGTGCTTTGAAGATTCTAAGTGACAGATACCATTCTTGTCTTTTAATTTCCTATCTCTTATTTAGAAGTTGAAATCTTGATTAGGATGGCTGATTATGTAGAGCTACATGTCAGTGATAAAACCAAATAAAAAACTGCCGAAATCCTTAAATCCCTAAATTGTTAATCAGTCCTTACTCCCTGAAGACAGTGTGACTTTTGTCTGAGTAAGGACCTGATAGTTTGGCCCACAGAGATCCAACATTTGATTGCATTTTCAGTTGAGCTGCAGTTTGCTGTATTAGAGATGTGTTTGTGGAACTGAAATGCCATTTTTGTAGGATCCTGAAAAGTAACTATTTAATAGTCAGTGAGATTATCAACCTCATGTGATCTTAAACTTGTTGGAAAGCTTATTAAGGTCTGATCCAGCAACCTTTACTTACATGAGTAATCCTATTCACTATATTAGCCTTATTTGTGGAGTAAATATTTCTCGTGTAAGACTTTTTGCCTTTATTTTCTCTTACTTTAACCTATTCCTTCAAAGAGTTAACTTTCTAAGCAGCCGCAGATTAGTTCTCTTGTTGTTTTAATTATTTTTCTTGTCACGCACAGTGCAGGTCTAGTGTTTGTGAATTTTTTTGTCCTCTCTCCACTGCTGTTTCCAATATGCTGGCACTGAAAGCTAAACTGAAATGCTGCCTATTTGCCATCTTATTTTGACAGATCTTCACCTTTTTCACATTTTAATATTATAGATTTTTATTGCTTTTCTTCAGGATAGCTTGGGCATGCCACGATTTTACATTTCTAAAATGCATGCATGGCACTCTTAAGCAGCTACTCACTATCAGTGTGCTTTCATGTGCTTGCTACTGACTAATTTCCTTCTCTGTAGTTGACAGGTGACTCAGAGTAAAAGCTGGCAGATGGCTGTATCATTAGAATGTGGCCAGAGCCTTCTGAGATGAGTTTTGGAATTTTTATCAAAGTGGGAATTAGGTTCAGGATATACCAGTGGCACACAGCACACTGTGGGAGTGTAAAATAAGAGGAAATAGTTCACAACGAGTCATCTTTTGGTTGGATGATTCAGGGGTCTGCTGTTGGTGGTCAAAAAGACACGTGGCTGACTACAGAGTCTTTGTATGCTATTCAGAATGCAATCTGTCTCTAAAAATTAATTCCACCATTCTGATTCTTGTCCAGTGAATCATTTCCAGAAATGAATAGCTGCAGTTGCTGGAATGGATATTGTGAAATTCCCTTCATTTACAATGGACGGGTTTTGAAATGATGATTTATCGGGCAAATTTTTTCAGGATTAGAATTAAAAGTACTTTAAAATAAGTATATATGTCCTTGTGTATTTTAATAAGAGAGATAGTAAAAGCCTCCCAGTTTCCGAACGATGAAGGACCATCTGAAAGAGCTAGTTCTTGGAGTAGTAGATCTGTTGGCACTGGCTGGTGATTTCCTGTGCATTTCCTGCAAGAAATGTTCTGTGATGTGAGTAGGTGGTAGTTAAGAGGTTGTTACGAAACCAGTTTTTAACCAGACGTCTTGAGTTGTGAATTGGAAAAAGGGATACAGCTTGAGTGTTGTCTCTTTGTTTCAGCAGGGCAGTTGTAATGCACATGCTGTATATTCTGTGTTTCTGTGGAGCAAGAAATATTTGGAATATATCTAATATTCCTCTATGTATTTTTCTTTATGTCACACCACTTTATAGTCGAAACATGAGACTGTGAGCTAAGACAACTGGAAGCAGTGGACATGGTGAATAAGGAGGATTTTCCTGAATGTATCTTTAACTGTAAGTATTTTGTGATAGTTTTCCCCAGACATGAGAGGCAAAATGGAGTTTCATCAACGACTAATGTCTGTGCCAAAACAAGATGGTTATTTGGAGCGCATTGGTTCTGTTCAGAAAGCAGATGGGCTACCAGTAGCACCAGAAAAAGGGCATTTCAGGGAATTGCTCTGACTCTGAAACTGCTGGAATTGTTGACCTACTGACTCAGTTATGAAGAATTGGGAAAACAGCCTTATTGTGGTTTCCTTTGTTGATGGCAGATTCAGAAGACATATGTGAGCATGTGAACGTGGCTAGCAGAAGAAAGGTAGCCCTAGTGCATGTTGCATTCTGGCTTTGTTTTGTGCCTGAGAGGAGTTGAATTCCTGAGCACTGGAGAAAATCTAACCATATTTGCGATGGCTCTGCTCATGACAGTACAGTGGTAAGTTTAATGCATTTCTCATTTTCATTGGGTGTAAGTATAACCGCACTAAAGAAACAAAGCATAGGTGGTATTGACCTTTATTCTGGATTGGAATATTTTGGAAGCTAAATGAACATATGCTTCAATGCTTTGGGTCAACTTTTTCAGAGAAGACCAACTGGCCTCCCAGAGTTTGAGGGTATTTGATATGGGGCCAAACTTTGAGGCCAAACTTTGAACCATATTATTACTCTTTAGGGTGTTGTTTAAACTATTCTCTAGTGATCATGGTAACCAGTAGAAGGGATGGCAGAGTATTCCATCCGTCAGGCTTCGAATAGATATTCTCATAAAGTAGCCATCATTCCTCTTTCCAATGTCAGGTTTCAGAGTAACAGCCATGTTGGTCTGTATTCGCAAAAAGAAAAGGAGGACTTGTGGCACCTTAGAGACAAATAAATTGGTTAGTCTCTAAGGTGCCCCAAGTACTCCTTTTCTTCTTTCCAATGTATTACAGATAAACTGAAGAGCATGCATTTGTCCTTTGAATTAGATACCAAATAATGATGCCCATGTATGGATATCAAAACCCGATGATACTTTTCATAATAGTAGGATATGCTTCACGGGCTGTTGTTGTTAAGTATTTCAGTAAGTTCCAACAAAGACATTAACAATTAATGGTCTATTATAAAAGTATTAATAGTGTTGGCTAACAAAGGGACAGTACAGTCTAATAGATAGAGCAGGGGGTGAGAATCAAACTTCCTGAGTTCTGTTACTCACTCTGCCACTGTTTCTGTTGTTGGGCAAGTTATTTACTCTTAGTTTCCCCATCACTAAAATGGGAATAATGATGCTTACTCGCCTTTACTAACGTGCTTTGATATCTACCAGTCCTAAATATTATATTTTCCTTCTGCATAGAAAGTTGATTTTCTGATACCCAAAACACTTGTAGCATTTTAATTTACAGAAAACTGTTTACCAAGTGTAAACTAATAAGTAGTACATTACAGGGTGATAGGGCTAAGCATGGAAGTGATAGTTAGCCTGTCTATCTCGTTACTTGCAGTGTTGTTGTAGGTGTGTTGGTTTCAGGATATTAGAGAGACACAATGGGTGAGGTAATCTCTTTTATTGAACCAACTTCTGCTGGTGAAAGAGACAAGCATTCAAGCTTACACAGGTCCGGGAAAGGTACTCAGAGAGTCACAGCTAAATATAAGGTGAAACAGATTTTTAGTATAAGGAGTTAACACATGTTGCAAAACATCATTCAAGGTAAAGTGGGCACTTAACACCTCTGCAGTCCTAGGACAAAGGAGGGTTAGTGCGTTACACATCGAGTACCTTTCCCAGACCTGAAGAAGAGCTCTCTATAAACTAGAATGCTTGTCTCTTTCATCAACAGAAGTTGGTCCAATAAAAATATTACCTGGCCCACCTTATCTTGTTTCTTGATATTTCTTCTCTTTCCATGCAAAAGTAAGTCACTACTGATGATGTATCTTAGTGGTCCCAGACAAGGCTTGGAATTCACTATGTACAGTTTTTCTCCTTCTGGATGTATGGCACAAGGAAGCTTCGTGTTTCCAAATGCTATTGGTTGCTGAGTTGCAATAAGGCTGTTATATTTTCTTTGCTGAAATGGCATCAAAGAATGCTGTATAGCAAAGGTCCTACAGAACTGTGAATTAAGCTATCCAGTAAAAATGGTAAGATATAGCACATGACCCATGTCTCCTTTTATTTGATGCTTCCTTCATATCTTAGTATAAGAACTTAAACTATCCACTAACTTTCTAGTGAGTGATTCCACCAGAAGGAGTAGGCGTCAAGGTCAAAGAAAAGTCACTTGCTGTGTGGTTGCTATGTGGGTGTGAAAAGCCTAAGAAGAGGAAAGGGTGGGGAAAATGTTCTTGAATTAAACAAATAAAAAAGTATGGTTAGTGAATTAGACTTCGTGAATTTTGATTTTGCCAAGTATCCTCTTGAATTAATTGCATATCTCTAAAATCACACAGTTAATTGTAAACTTATCAGAATGTTCTCAGTGGAGACTGTACTTTTAAAAACACTTTTTCCTTATCACTTTAAATTGAGAGAGAGGAAGTTGTGAATTTTTATAGCCCCTAAGTTCTTAACTGTTAAAGATAAATTGGAATGGCAGATCAAATTTCCTTAGGCTTACACAAGAACAGACTCAATTACTGAGAAATTTTAAGCCGACCACATGTAAAGAAAAAAAATTGATCTTCAGTTAATTGTCGTTTATCCACCTGCATTGCACAGTTGGATGCAGAGTTTTACTGCTGTTTTTTAAAATCACCTGTTCTTGGAAGAAGGTGGTATTGTATGTATGGGGAATATTGTATGTTGCTGCACCGAAAATAACTTAAGGGAAAAGATATTTTTTTTATTTGGAAGACTAATGATCATTCAGTTTTGAGTTTGTGTTTGTAGTATCTTCACTGTATTCTGGCTTTTACAGTGTAATCAAAAGTGATGTGAGAGGGGGATTCCAAAGATAAGTCAGCTCCAGGTGACTTTTTTTCTTGCTTCTTGTGATTGTCCTTATAAAATACAGCAGCAGATAGAGTCAGTTTAGACTCCGCTCCATTCTTGCAGTGTCTTTGGAGTGGAAAACTGCCTGTTTGCATGCTCTATTAGTAAATGAAAGGGTTAAAGATTTCTTACTTCATCGTTGCAGCTATAGGACTGAACACAAATCAGAAATTGGATACGAAGAAAACACGGATATGATTTGAAATTAGATAGACAAGGTGGGTAACATGATACTTTTTATTGAACCAGCATAGTGCTTGAACTTTCAGATCCCCACAGGTGCCTTCTTCCAGTGATGAAGGGTCATTTGAAGAATGAATCTGCCTCACTAAAACTTGTCTGTTGTAACCATATACCCTTCCTGATTGCACTGAAATCAAAGGGGAAAATTCTCATTAACTTCAGTGAGAAAAGAACTGGAACTCTCTGTGCTGTTCTAATAAAAAGCATCCATCACCTCTTGTGCTTTATTCATTTAAGGCTTGATACTGAGAGGTGCTGAGCAGCCACAGCCCCTAAAGTCAAGTCAGACTAGCACTCAGCACCTCTCAGTGTCAGCCCCCAAAACACTGATTCTTAACCGCTGATACCCCAGGCTCCATTCTTGTACCTTAAAGTTCAAGTGTAGAAATGGCTTCATTGCATGTTTGTCTCTCCAGATAAACTCTGCTCAGTTTACAAGTAAAAAGATAGTTTTTGGAGTTTTTGTTTGCTTGCTTTTTTGTTGTTTTCTGTGGACTCTGCAATCTTCACCTGGAATCTGATAGTCAGTCTGGGCTCTTTCTGGCCTATACGTAATCAACAATAACTCTGCAGTTGAAATTTATGGACAGAATTGGTAACTTACATATGATCTGGAACAGGAGCCAGCTCATTTTCCAGTAGCTGTGTTTTATCTGTAATGCTAACAGGAATAACAAGTTATAATTTTGGTCAGTAAAGAAAACCAGAAATGGCAGTGCAGATACACTAGGACCATGGCGAACGAGCAAGAAGGCACAATTTTTATCTAATTATCATTATCTGTACTGGGTCCAAACTCACCTGTGCTCCATACATTCCCATTCAGTTGTTTGCAAGCTACCTATGTGGAGGCAGGGTTAGCAGGCTATGGTCATGAATCCGGGGGTGAGGATTATCATGCACAATAGAATTGGTGGTGGTGGTAGGAATTTTATTAGGTTTGATAAAATGGTAGAGTTGCCCCAAGAATTTGGGAGATACAACATTAAGGACCAAAACAGCTAATGAAATTCCCTAGTGTATGACCTGTTATTACAAGATATCAGAGCCATAACTAGGCATTTTAATGCCCAGGGCAAGCATTTGCATCCCCTACCGGTTTTTTTCTTCATTTCTTTTGCCTTGTTTTTCTGCACCTGTGGCTTTGCAGCCTGGGCGGCTGCCCTGCATGCCCCACCCTGGTCGCAGTTCTGCAAGATACATTGTCCTGGGCAAAAATAATTCATAACTGAGATCTCAGCTTTACTTTTTGATATACTTTTATACACCAAAAATAAAAATATTTCCAAAAATACAGGTAGACTGTATGAATGTTAACCAGTCACTCCTTGATCTGCACAAGCTGGCAACTGACAAGAATGACCCTCATTTGTGTGACTTCATTGAAACATATTATTCTCCTGTTAGGGCAGGACTCATGTTGTCTCTAAGGTATATTTGTAACTCATCGGGTGTATTTTCAAGCTGTTGTGTGTAAAAAGAGGGAGTTGTGGATCTTGTTTTCTTTCTGTTTGTTTCCTTACTGACCTGGTGCACTGATGTCCAATGAACTGGATTCAGATATGGAAGATGACCGACCAGAATGGTCTCTCATGTTCTACAATATCCTATCTCAATGATATCGTTTCTTTCTTCGGCTGTATTTACGATGAAATCATACAACAATGTGCAAGTGTGGAAACACAGCTGTAGCTAGTAGAGTTCTACCAGGGTGGATGTGTTTGTTGAAGAAGGATGGTCTTGTGGTTAAGACACTGGATTGGGATTCAGGAATTCTAGGTTCAATTTTTGGCTCTTTTACAGACTTCCTGTATGACCTCGGGCAAGTCACTTAATTCCTCTGAACCACAGTTATCCGTTTATAAAATAGGAATACTTCCTTTCTCTCTCATTTTGTCTGTGTTGTCTGTTTAGATTCTAGGCTCTGTTAATGTTTTTATATAGTGCGTAGCACAGTGGTGATCCCAATCCTTTTTGGCGCTTCGAGGCATTACCATAGTATAAATAAGTAAGTAATATTGCATCTGCAGGTACATTGAGACTGCAATCACAGCATGTGATTGCAGCTCGAGTAGACATACCCAAGCTAGCTTTAATCTAGCTAGGTCAGTTCCCAGAGTGGTGAAGCTGCGACACCTCCAGGGACACCACGTGCTTCAGCACGGGCTAGCTCTGCAAGTAATTACCCAGGGTTCTAGGCAGGCTTG